AAATTAGACTTACCCAAAAATACATAAAATTGAAGCTTTAAGTTTTATAATTAGAGATGAAAATGAATTTCAGACCATCACAAATATTTCTAATATTGAAACAACATCTTTCGACACTATTTGAAGGTGTGCTGTACTTTGATTGTTTAGGGCCTCGGCCTTATACAAACCGCACCCTTTTAAATCGTTTAAGTCTCAAAAAATAACGTGTTTAATATTATTTAAGAAAACTATTTTATTTTCTTACGCTTTTGAGATAATTTTTGTGTTATTAATGAAATTCCTAATGTTTTGATGAATTTGGAACTCCGCAAGTCTCTTCTCCGATTGACATATTTGAAGCACGAGAAATGGTTTGAATGCAATAAGGTGGCTCATGTTAAAAAGTGTGAAATAAGAACTTCCTTTTTAACCTATTTGGACAGGCAAGCTGGGGCTCTTAACAATAACACGGCAAAGGCTTGAAAATTCGGTGATCCGGATCAGAATCAGCCGATTCATATTAGGAATTAGTCGGACTTATTTAGATCCCAAAAAAATATCGGGAACCGACAAGTTCCCCTTATGAATGTGCCAGTTCCGTTCAGGTTCGTACCGGTTCTCTTGCAGAAGTGGCTGCTTCTGTCAAAAAACTGGTACCAACCAGCTTCACATTTTATTTCTTAATCACTGAATTGGCCAGAACCGGCCCCTACTAATTTTTAATTTTTTTCGGATTGTTGATCCTTCAAACCAAAACAAAAATCCTGATCTATTTTTTTGCATCAAGTCGAACCATGGGTTTTCGAAAAAACAAATTGCATACAGTGCATGTCTATTTCTTGTTTTCAATTTATTTTTATTGGTAAATACTTTGGTTTGTTGTGGACTTTGCACGTATAGTCAGTAGATCATGTATAGCAAATATATTTGGTAGGCGTGATTGCTATATTTTTCTATATCTCCTTCCCACAGATTTGAGCACAGTCTCTTTATTTGTTTGTTTATTCATTCATAAATATAGGCCTGTTTGAACTGGTACAATTTGGCGGAAAAAACCATCTTCTTTCCTCCGCCCATTTGGGACTAGGGGCAATGGGTTGAGTTTGCGGGACCCAGACCCGTATAGTATTCGGGTCCAAGTTTGGATCGGACTCAATATGTCGGGTTCAAAAAGTTGGACCCATACTCGTACCTCATTCCTTTCGGGTCTTAGGTTTGGTCTGGTCTATTGCCACCCTCTCTGTGAACTTCTGTTTTTTTTGCCCTTTTTTACTATTATATATTCATATATTAGCAACAAAATCACAATCACATGTTATTAGATTTCTAGTCGTTTGATTTGTCGCTTAATAGCTAAAGATAACTACGAGTTCTTATTGGATACGATCCTTAATACATCAAAGGAATAGGGGTTAAAGTATTTTATCTCCAACAGTTTACAGGTACATGTCGGGTTCAACTAGACCGGGACCCGAACTCGAATAGTATTCGGATCCAAATATTAGACCCATACTCAGACTCATGTTAGGTATACCCGATGGGTCCCAGGTCAAGGTCAGGTCCATTCTCACCCCTATTTGGGACTAATAAATGTCTGTAACAAGATTGATCATAATGAAATAATTTACTCAAGTAAGCTGTCATGCTCAGCAGCCAAAGTTGACGCCGGATCAAACTGACGAACTATGTAATTCGCATTCTCCTACTTGAAGAGACATTGCTTTATATTGAGTTTTGGGGTTGGAAAAATGGATTAAAAAAGTATTTGAAGCTAAGGATATTTGAAAGCTATAGTTTCCTACACCATGTTTTAACAAAGGGTTCACCATGGGCTAGGGGATCCTAATGGTCTTGGGATGGGTTTTGGAACATTGAACTTGGGTTTTGGGGGTCTAGGTGGTCCTGAAGTACCTAGCTTCAAAGTCTATGAGTAGAGTTCGGTGAGACCTTTAGGGTTTTGAGGGTCTAGGGCATAGTTAGGAAGCCGGGACTTTCAATAAATCTGCTTATCTTAAAATTGGAAAAATTTGTTTTTATTTTAAAAAGTCAGATGAAAAAATCGGATAAAAAATATATATCGGCAAAAATACTTCATGTAAAGATATCACCAATATATCGGACTAGGCTCAAAAAATCGGATAAATACATATAAAAAAAATACACCATATCAAACCTACTTAAATACATATCAAAAAAATACACCACATAAATTTTCTCATTAAATACTTTAACAAATATCACACCCACTTAAGTATATACCAAAAAATAGAAACGATGTTTTTTATCATCAAATTCTTTAACAATGATATAACAACTTTATAACTATAGTTAGTGATTAGGATTTATACTTTATATATATGCTTGCATTTGAGTTTGGGTCCTCTGATTCTACTTTTTAGAGAGAGAAGGCGTAGAGGAGAGAATGAACGAATGGGGGAACTAGTATAAAATTCTTCGACATTACCATATTTCCGGCAGAATCTAGGCGTTGAACTTCACGGAATATGATGATTGAGATTTGAGAGGGAAGAAAGTGATCTCTAAAGCTTTTTTCTAGCAAAAATGGCAGCCCATGGAGAGAGAGACAGTGCTTTTTATGCAATTTTAAGGTTGAAGAATGAGTGGTCCGCTTCAGATCTCATAAATATGTACAAAAGGCTCGCACTTGTTAGAATAACACCATTTATGTATTTTTTTTTTCTATTCACTTAATCCTTTTCCTATCAGTATTGTTGTTTCTTGATTCGAAATGTTACAGGGTAAAAAATTTCTACGTTTTAGCTTTTTGAAACTTTGGCATTATGTTTTTCGATTGCTTTCGAAATTCCGCATGGTGTAGCTTTCATCTCTTTTATATAAAACTTTTGCTACTTTTATTTTTGAGGATTTTCAATAATTCGTATCGAAAGTTTTTAATTCTGATAATATAAGACCAGTTTTTCACTGAGGTTCTAGATAGAGAAACATGGCCATTTTCTTTTTTCCACAGACGTTTTTTTTGTCCAATTTTATTTGTTTTTCAAAAAATCGCGTTTTTAACAGTACTATGAAAAATACATGTTTTTTTTGACAAACTTTTCAAAAAAAATGGCATTTCAAATGTTTTTTAAAACTTCACCATTTTTTTGAAAAATTTGCCGAACAGTCGCCGAATTGCTAACTATGGTCTAGGGTGGCAGAAAGGTTAAGAACACTCAGGCTTAAAAAGAAAATTGCAAAAACCCCCTCAAAATAGATTTTTGTAGGCATTTTACCCCACGCAACTTTTCTTAACAACTTTCCACCATGTTTCCTAGCAAATATCTCTTATACAAAAAAAGGTTTTTTTTTTATGACTAAAATACATTTCCCTCATTTAACAAATCATTTTCAGATTCCAATAAAAGGAAACACCTAACCACACTTGTACAACATAGGACTCCTCACTTCAAAGGACTGCTCACTTCAAAAAGCTGGAACGCTACTCCATAACGCCGAACTGTGGCCCTTCAAAATGTCGGATCGCCACATCAAAACATTGGATTGTCCTTTCAAAATGTCGGACCGGAACTTCAAATAGTTGGACCGCCCATTCTAGCAAAAAATAATTGTCGGATGGCCTATTCCAGCAATAAGTAATTGCCGGACCGCCACCAAGAAATGTCGGACCGGCCATTCTACAGCAACTTCAAAACGCCAGACCGCCTGTTCCAGCAAAAAATAATCGTCGGACCGCCCATTCCTGCATGAAATGTTGAACGGCCATTCTATCTCAACTTCAAAAATCTGAACCGCCCATTCCAACAGTAAATAATTGCCGGAACGCCATTCCAACAATAAATAATTGCCGGAACGCCATTCCAGCAAAAAGTAATCGCCGGACTGCCACCATAAAATGTCGGACCGGCCATTCGAGCAAAATAATCATCGAAGCGCGTGTTCAAAATACTAGACCGCCCTCTCCAACTAAAATAACTAAAATAACTAAAATAATGTTACGCGAGGAGAAGGTAAGAGATACATCTTCTGTTTCTTAATGTCATTTCTGCATTCTCTCTCCTAATTTCTTTATTTTCTTTAACCTCAATTACCCTAATTGTTAAAAATAAAAAGTATATAATTAAAGAAAATCCAAAAACTAATCACAATTTTGTAAAAATAGACAAAAAAAATAAAAATCTTGTAAAATTTCAAACAAGATGAAGGAACCCATCAAAAATTCCACATCACGCATCACTAACTCAATGGTCAATACTCAAGGTGCTCCAACCAGATAATAATTCATTCTCTTTTTTTCTTTGTTTTGTTCTTTGATTTTTATTTTGTACATATTGTTCAGAGCCTCGGCATTTCTTAGGGGTTCTTATAATGCTATAAATTAAAAGCACTTAATATAATTTAAAAAAGGAATTAAAAAAAGAAATATTAATTTTTATTCTGTATTTTTTAAAAGCTAGAATTACAAAAAAATTTAAATGCTAAAATTTTAAGGGCCCCTGAACCAATTTCAAAATCGAATTAAAAAAAAAAAACCATAGATTTTTCTTTTGTATTTTTGGTCCTTTTTTTAGCATTCTTTGAGTTTTCCTTTTTACATATTTTAAACGCTATTAAAAAACAAAATTTACAAAAATAACAACACAATATAATTTTATTTATGTTTCGTTTTTTGGCTTCTTAAAATTAAGAAACAATTACACAAATATTTGCTGTTTTCCAGAATTTCACCTAAACTTAATTATACAAATATTTGTTATTTTCAAGAATTTCAACTAAACTTAATTACACAAATATTTGCTATTTTCAAGAATTTCACATAAAATTTCTGTTATTACCGATCACTATCTCTATTTATCCGTATTCTAAAAATGACTAAATTACCCTTCTCAGATTTCAAGATCCGAAATATTTACTCTCAAAAAGTAAATTCACCGGGGGCCTTTCAGAATATTTGAAAAGAGTCGAGGAGTAGTCTTGTCCAATCCCTTACATCCGCGCTTCTCATAAATTCTTTGGGCTTCCGAAAAGCACTACTCTCTCTTTCTCTCTTGCTTTGTATCTTTCTTTCTCTCTTGCTCTTGAATTTGAAGGCGCGTTTCTCTCTCTCTTCTCTGCAACTTAAACCTGTGGAAGATAGATCAAGCATCAGTAACTCAATAGTCAATACTCAAAGTGTCCCAAACAGATGGTAATTCATTCTCTCTCTCTCTCTCTCTCTCTCTCTCTCTCTCTTGTTGCAATTCTTTTGTTGTTATTTTGTACATGTTGTAAACGACATTAAAAAACAGAAGATGCAAAAAGAATAAAACCATATAATTTTATTTATTATTCTTCTTTTTTCATTTTAAAATTGTACCTTTTAAAGGCTTTGATAATGCTAGAATTTTAAAGCTCTTAATACAAATTTAAAACCAAATTAAAAGAGGAAATATTGATTTTTATTCTGTATTTTTGGACCTTTTCTTCAGGGCTTTTACTACTTTGAAGCCCAATTCAAAAGCTAGAATTAAGATAAGAACTTAAAATCCTAGAATTTAAAAGCCCTTAAACCAATTTCAATACCCAACTAAAAAAAAAAAGAAAACATCGATTTTTATTTTATATTTTTGATTTTTTTAGGTAGGGCTCATACTTGCATTCTCCGATTTTTCTATTTCATATATAGTAAACGCAACGCCCTTAAAAAAATTGAAAATCGAAAAAAGAATAACACAATATAATTTTATTTGTATAAAATTATATAAAAAAATAAGGAGTTTTGTTTGTAATGCATTTTTTAATGTTTTTCATTATTTTGACAAAGATTGAAAAGTTGTCTTGGTCTTTAATACTTTTTTTTATAATTTTCCATCTCTTTTTAAAAAAATAAAAAATATTCCTTAACACAAATGGATTCTTTAAAATCTATTTTTAAATAAATTTTCAGTTTTATTCAGATGTGCTTTGTTTAATCATATTTTAAATATATTTTTCACATTTTATTTAGTTTTTTATTATTTTTTAACATTTTTTTGACTGCCCGATACTCGGCCGATCAAAACCACCAATATACTGGTTAGTACCAAGTAACCGATTTTAACTCCATGTCCGGATAACTCTTCCTATTTGATATTATCTACTCGAGTGAACACTGGCAATGCAAAAAATAAATTAATTTTTTTATACCATGGAGATTATTATTATTTTTTACTCTTTTGCCTTTTTTTACTTATTTAATTTTAGTTTTGTTTTGGCTTCGTAAAATTAAATTTATAAGGGTCTTTTAATCTATTTAAAAAATAATTAAGGGTAGTCTTGTCTAATCACCTAAAATTAAGAGATCAAAGTTAGCGGCAACATCGCGCTCCCTGAATTGTGATAAGCGCTACTCTGTCTCTTTTTCTCTCGGGCTCGTTAAGGCCCGTTTCAGAGGGAGGGCAACTGCCAAGGTAAGAGACAAATACAGAATTTAAAAAAAAAAAAAAAGGGTAGTGCTTCATGCATCTTCACTGTAAAAACCTTGATGGCACGTTTCTTTAGCTTTGTTATATGTGTAGAGATTTGGTTCGGAAATGTACGGATTTCTTTTTTTTTGGTCAAAGGCTTTGATAAGCTCTCACCGGTGAACTAATTTTAAAAACAATAATATATAGTTAAAAAGAATCCAAGAAATAGTTAGAATTTTAGAAAAGTAGATAACAAATATTTAAATAAAAATTTAAACAAGGTTTTACAAGAAAGAAATAGATCATAAAAAATTCCACATCTAAGTATAAGTAACTAAATAGTCAATACTAAAAAGTACCTAAATAGATAATAATTCAGTCTCTCTCTCTGTCCCTCTCTTTTTCCTTAATTCTCTTGTCTAATTCATTCTCTCTCTCTCTCTCTCTCACTCTTTTTCCTTATTTCTCTTTTGATTTTTGTTTTATCTTTCGCTCTTTTTTTTTTTTTTGTTTGCATTCTTTGTACATAATGTAAATGATATTGAAAAACCAAAAATGCTAAAAGAACAATACACTATGATTTTATTTATTATTATTATTTTCATTTAAGCTCCTACCTCTTAAAGGTTCTCATAATGCTGGAATTTAAAAGCACTTCAAATAATTTCAAAACTGAATTAAAAAAGAAATATTGATTTTTATTGTATTTTTTTGTGTTTTTTTAGGGTTTTTACTATTTCAAAGCTGACTTTAAAAGCTACAATAAAAAACAGAAATTAAAATACTAAAATTTTAAAAGCCCTTGAACCAATTTCAAAATCGAATTAAACAAAAGAACATAGATTTTTCTTGTGTAATTTTGGTTGTAGGGCTCTTTTTTCCATTATCTTATTTTTCTTTTTTACATATTGTAAACACCCTTAAAACAACAAGAAATTGCAAAAATAATAACAATACATAATTTTATTTATTTTTTATTTTTTTTCCATATTTTATTTTTATTTTGAAACATAAAGATCCAGGGAAATTTTGAAAAAAATAATAGTTTAAAGCATACAAAATTTTGAATGTGATAAGTGAAAAATTTTAGATGATATTGTACTAAAACTAATATATATATATATATATATATATATATATATGCCGGTATTT